AGGGTTGAGGGTTTAAGGGTTTACAGTTTGATGTCTGGATGTTTTAGGGCATGGGGTTTAGGGGTTCAAGGGTTCCAGAGTGTGAGGTTTGGGATTTGAGGTTTTGGATTTAAGGTGCAAGGTTTAGTTGGGGGTTCACCCTAACGCTAAATCCTAAACCAAACCCTAAAACCTAAAACCATAAGGTCTAGTTAAGGGTTGTGGAATTTCCAGGATCTACTGCTTAAGCTTGAGGATCTAGGGCCGAGGTTCGAGAATTTGGACTGAGCTTTAGGCGGTGTTTACGGTTTAGGATTCGCAGCTGTGGCTCCGGGGTTTAGGAGGTTTGGGGGCGAAGAACTTAGATGTTTTAAAGTTTTGGGCTTAGGGTTTAAGGGAATACAGGAGCATAAACAAGGATATATAGGGACATATTAGACCAATATTGGAAAGTCAGTTGGACAAGAAAATGGAACATGAAATGGACACTGGGTTTATACATTTGGTTATAGTTTCCCAGGTGATTACCAATATGGGTTGAGGTCTGATTAAAATACCCTACATCGTATTCAAACAAGGAACCTAGGATCATAATATTGGGAGGTCTTTAGGCGACCTACAGCAGGCTTCGGGGCTCACAGTTGAGGGAAGGAACACTCCCCAAGCATTAACAGGGTTCAACTGGGAACCCCAAACAGGGAACCCAAGAATATAGCAGGAATAAATAGGAATGGACCTACCAGGGTCCTCATATTCCATTATATTCCTACTGTATTCTTGGGGTTTACCGTTTGGGGTTCCCAGTACAGTCCCTTTAAGCATTGTGTTCACCTTAGTAGGAGACTTCTACTCTACAATCATGTCTAATACATTCCAAAGCTGCTGAAGGACTCAGGGCGATCAGGATACCAATGACCAGGCATCCTGTATGGCTAGCATGAGCCTCAGCATCCTTTTCACACTGCACTGCTCAAACTTCTGTTAACCCCAACCTACACGCCTGTACTGGAAGCTAGCTTTTGAAAAAAAACAGGACCGCACCTGGAAGTCCACGCAAACTTCAGGGCAGCCCATAATCATATCCTGAAAAGGACCTGAATCACTCGACCCTAAACTCTAAACCCTAGACCCCTAACCCTAAACCCTATACATTCATTGCGCAGTCCAGGGGCGGATCTTGTGCAGCTTCTGCCAGGCCAAGCCCAGACAGACGGAGACAAACAAGGCGTCAAAGGAAAGCTCCCACTTGAAGCCCACCAAGTACCTAAACTTACTACTGGTGCTTAAGGGGGAGTGGGGAGTGGATCCCTATAATAACCCCTATATAATCCCCAGATATACCTCGGGTACTGCCCACTGTAACAGTCTATATTAGGGCGCAAATTCAGGGTTATTATCCAACCGTTCCCAGAGTGGGGGCTGCAAAAGAAAGTAGGAAGCCCAAAAAGTTGAAGTCCTAACAGCCAGGCAGAAGACAGCCAAGTTAAACTTCTAGGGTTTCGGGCTGGTTCCACATGGCTGCGGCTCTTACACGGCTACCTGCACACACCCCCATATCCAAGAATCCATGCTCAGAACGACCCTCACATTGTGAGCCCAGGCGCATTTTGAGGGGAATCATGAGCAAAATGGTATCCAGGTCGTCGAAGATGGCCAAGATCTGTGCTTTCCTCACTTGATTTTGGGGGCTGTGAAGAGTTAAGCGCCCCTGATCAGTATCAGACGGCCATGAAAGAATCCCCTCCTGCCAACATCCTACTGAGGACGGAGGAAACATGTCATAGACTAAGCAATCAATAGATGACTGCATTTCCTGTGATCTAGAGCCCTTGGTCACAGCCTAAGCAGTCAATGGTAACTGCATTTCCCATGAGTTAGAACCCTTTCAATGGCTTAGGAATCACATACACTTAAAAGCTTGAAATTTCTGAAAATGATCGCTATATAAAATTCTTAGGGACCCCCCCCCCATAATACCTCTGTAGTAACCCACGTAAAGCCGTATTATCCTGAGGCCCAATGTTGATAACAAGCGCTTGAAACTGAAGCCGAAACGTGTCTGAAGCCTGGAACCTATCATCCTCGACGACTTCTATCACAGCTCCTCAAATTCGGAAGGTCAAAGACTCTGGGAGCCTAATACCACTCCTTGAAAGACTTCTCCTCACACAACATTAGGCTTTCTAGTACCATTTAAGGTATATTCCTCCGTTTGAATTGCATTGGGCACTACAGCTCCCTTAAACCCTCTAAACCGCATTAAGCCCTAAACCCTAAACGGGAACCTACTCGCCTTGAACGAAGTCTTTGGGGTTTAGGGTGTAGGAGTGGTTTAGGGCTTAGGGCTATAGAATCCTAACAAAATCCCCCACATTAATGATGTCCCTTGTTCCCTACTGTTGCAACCCCATTAAGTAGCAGCTGGGCATCCGAAAAAGCCATGTCTCTTTGAAGCCGGCGGCCTCGCAGGATTTCGGGTGCAGGGGTTTGAAAGTTAAGTTGCTGGTTCTTAGTCATGTAGACCCCTCATTAATAGACCCCCTCCCCTTAAGAGGGACTACAAAAGAGATCCTATTATAAAGGCCCCTAAAAGGAGGGGGTTTATTAATTAGGGGTTTACATTAGGGCTTAAACCCTAAGCCCTTAAAAAAAACGTTTAGGATTTAGGGCGAGAATGAGAGAATGACAAAGGAAATGGAACCTACTATTTAGGTTGTGGCTTGGGCAATGCAAAGGCACATGCAAGCTACTATGTCGTTGGGGACTGGAGTTTAAGTTTCATGTAGGGTTCTGGGTTTAGGGTTGCTACCATAGGGGTCCAATCCTCCATACTCTACTAGCAACCAGTAAGTCAAAAGTCTGGGCTGCGTCGGGTCTACAAGGTTCGGAGATAATCGAGGGCTCGAGGGTCCCGAGCTTCAGGCACTGTAGCCTCCCTTCAAGAGTTTGGAGGCCTGAAAAATTGCCAGTGCCCTTTTGAGGTATGTTTGAGGTACTCCATACCATAACTATGTCAGGAGCCCAGGACCATAATACTAGTAGTTATTCAGGCTCCTACCTGCATAATACTCAAAGTTATTCCCGAAAACCTAAACCCAAAAACCCAGAACATTGGTAGCTCTTAAGGCCCCTAAATTCGATACAAGCAGGGATGTAGAGAAAAGGTTATAGTCCCCCTTAAGTAGATATATTCTACCTACTTAAGGGGGACTATAGGGTGAAGGATTTACATTGCTGCACCCTATCTACTTGGGGCTGTAAGGTTGGGGAAGCCAGGCTTACAGGGTTTAGGATCTAGGGTTTTGGGGTTTTGGGTTTAGGGGTTAAGAGTAGGGTAATTTAGGGTTCAGGGTTTGTCGGCAGGCATGATTTGTCTTCTTCACGTTTGATCCAAACTGGCTCTTTTGCTGAGAAGACCGAAATCTGTAGCTCGATCTCTGTAGCTTACAGCCCCACACTGTGAGCACAAGGCTAAGCCAAAGTTGCTTGATGAGTTGCTGTTGCCTCGTGCTTAGGGCTTCAGGTTTAGGCCTGTGCTTTTCCTCAGTCTTTAGTGAATTCAAAGCGCTCAGGGTTACAGCTAAGATCCGGAATACTAATGATCAGGACAAACACCCTGAAACCTTGTTCCAGCCAAATGTCCTCCAACGTGTAAAGCCCTTGACCCTCATTACACCCGACACCCCTAACTATCCCAACACTTTTTCTCCAGAAGCGTTGAAATCTTAACTGATGGCCACAGCGATGCTTGATCGCTATTCCGCAGAACAAAAACATCCTTTTGCTAGAATATAAGGAACCCATACCCAAAGAGTATAAAAGACCCAACACCATACACCCTAACAAGGGCCCCAGATTGCCTCCAACATGTTGAACAATATACCGGCACTTGTGGGCGCCGCAAACCGCGCCATTAGAAGCGCGGACCCCCAGGCCTGGGCGGGACGGTGGCTCTAGGGTTAGGACTTAGGGCTTAGTGTCTGGGATTTGAGGGCTGTTTAGAGGTTATAGTGTGGGAAGTATGGGCCCCCTAGCATGGGCCTTTAACCTTTTTGTAGGGGATTGTAGCGGGATCTTAGGGTCCCTGTGGGCACATGTAGAGTATCTACTAGGTATGTAAGAGCCCTAGGATCTACATACATACTAGGCGTCTTCCAGTGTTTTGGTGCTTAGCTATTTGCGGCTTTGTGCGTCCAGGCACCAGGGTTCAGGAGTTTAGGCTTGAGGGCTTGGGCTGGGGAGGTTAAGCTACGGTTGAAGCGTCCAGGATTTAGGAGGTTTCAGGAGCAGAAAGGTCTAGGAGTTCGGGAGGGGCCTCGAGCTTAAAAGGTTTGGATATCGGCTGTGCGGTCTAAGGCATGAAAGTCTAGAGATTTTGGGGTTTCAGGCGTAGGATTTAAGGATTGGGGTCTAGGGCTTGGGGTTTAGGGTCTTAGAGGTGCAGGGTCTAGGGGCTTAGGGGTTAGGGATTGGGGTTCAGAGTCTGGGACTATTGGATTCAGGGCTTGTCGTTGATTATTGGATTTACGCTTTGGGGCTGAAGGGATGGAAGCGGGTTTCAGGTTTCGGCGCTCCACAGGCTACGAAGGCTGTCCAGGCTCTAGACACGGCTTTTTTGGTCTCAGAGGGTTTTTGCAGGAGTTTGTGCGCATGATTGGGTCGAATAGGGGTTCGTAGGGGCTAGAGTTCATAGTGATTTTTTGGCAATCAAAATCTGAGTGTTGAGCTTTCGGGATTCTGAATGTCACGAGTTTAAGGTTACCTGTGCAGCCTCCATGGAAAATGGTTTTGGAACCTGAGCTGCTAGAAGCCTAAACCCCTAAACTCCAAACCCTACATCCCAACTAGTCCCCCTCAAGTAGATCCTAAACCCTAAATAGTAGTTTCCATTTTCTTTACCATTATCCCAACATAACCCCGATAGTACCCCAAACCCTAAACTCAATCCTAAAACCTAAACCCCTAAGAGGACCCGAGAAGCTAAGCCGGAATTCGGCAGCGCAAAATGGAGCCACAGCGCCACAAAAATCCTGAGCCGAGTCCAGGTTGTTAGGGTCTAGCGGCCTAGGGCCTTGCAGTTGTTTGGGGTACTACGGGCGTTATATTGGGATAATGAAAAAGAGAATGGAAACTACTACTTAGGGTTTTGGGGGCAGGGTCCCCCTTAAGTAGATAGAATATGGGATATATGGGGATCTTATTACAATATCCCCAAAGCCATATTTTATCTACTTGAGGGGGGCTTCTGAAAAGTTTGCACCTCCGCAAATTGGGCCTATGATTCAGGTTCACCGGCGCCTTTGTAAGTTCCACTTATAAGTCCGGGTGGAGGGTTGCCACTGGAAGGTCCTAAATGGCTCAACGCACCGCAGTTAAGGTACCTTTTATGAAGCTATGAACCATGACATGATTAAAGGAACACCTGTTGATGCAGATTCTCTAGCTCCCTCCAAAACTGCCCGCAAAAAGGTAGCAACTTGGTCCTTTGGGGCACCGTTAGGAGCAACTAGGAACCAAAAGGCCAGATAACTGATGTATTGCTCAAGTTCATGAAGCCTCTACAAGCCGAAAGACTCCTGAAAATTATAGTCCTCCTCAAGTAGATAGAATATGGGGTATACGGGGATTATAATATACCAAAGCCATATTCTATCTACTTAAAGGGGACTATATGTACAAATTGTGAAGCACAACACACAAAATCCACATGGTTCCTGAGGAAGGGATGTGGGCAGGGTTTATGTTTCCCTCTGAGCAGGGTAGCCAGGTAAAGTCTGCAGTCTCCAGGTTGCGAGTTCTAGGGTTGAGCGCGCCCAGAACCTCTAAAACTAGCGCCATTATGTTTCGTACTTTTGGGGTTCAGGTAGGGCCCTAAACCCTTAAACCCTAAACCCATAGGGTTTACCCCGAAGCCGTTTCGTGAGGCTTCTGCGGCAGAGTTTGTGGCTATGAGGGCTAGGGTTGGGAGCCCCACTATGCGGGGACTCTAAGTCTTGGGACGGGATTTGGGGTTTAAGGTTCAGGGCTTAGGGTTAACCCTCATCATCACCCCCCTGATTACTAGGGTGGCGGGTAGTTCTGAAAGTCTTGCTTGTCCGCACGATTTGGGGTTTCCGACAATTCGGCCTTGCGTCTTAGTGGCTACCACTAATGCGGAGTGTAGTGGAATGTGCCCTTAATATAGCCGTTTTTTGGAAACGCGTATTATACTAGGGTCCTCTTATTTTCCACTATACGACTATTACTGGGCGGGGGGTGTCCTCCTAAGGTACAGGGTATATCAGGTGGTGCAAGATTTCCTCCATCGGCGGTAGGAACCTCAATTCACCTCCATTGGTCGTCTTTACATAAATTCATAACAATGCGGGGGCACATGGTTCCGTATCCTTCAAAAACAATGCTTTGTCAACACCTCCCCCTCCTATTTCACACCCCTCACCCCAAGAGTAGATATTTCCCCGAAAAATCATATACCTATGCGTACACTAACTCTCATAGGAAATATCCACTATTGAGGTTGTGCGCGTGTGGGGCAGGGGGGGGATGGTTAAAATTCGGGGAAGCGATTTTGACCGCGGTCACCCGTACTGTCACAACGCCCACTCGGGAGGCCCACACCCTTCGTCTCAAACCCGGGGTTTGGTGCGTTGGGGTTAAGTTGTGTCAATCCCCCACCCAGTACTGGGTACCACAAGGTCCATTGTAGGTATATTAAGGCCCTATCAATTCCATATTAAGGAGCCATTACTATAGGGAGACTTGACCTAAGGTTTAAGGTTTTAGGGTTGGGGTGTTCTCATAGGGATTAGCAGGGGATTATGGGGGCTTGTAGCGATAGTTTTGAGAAACGTGCATATTGAATTATGGAACCCTATGAAAACAGCGGCCTAGATAGGGTTCCATGCTAGTTTGGAGGGAATAATAGCCCTTGACCCTTGACAGACACACTTATAAGTCCTCAAGCCCAAAATCCGGAACTCCATGGCCCTTCACCCCAGAGCCACATCCGAAATGATCAGCCCTCAACACGAACCACTGCAATCCTAAACCCCAAACCCTCAACCCTAAAAAAACATTAAACCCTAAACCCAAAATAGTAGTTTAGTTTCCATTTTCTTTTCCATTATCCTTAGTTTCTATTTTCTTTTCCATTATCCTAAACCCAAAGAACATCTTTTCCCAGGATCCAAGGAAGACCTGCCGCCGACATGGCAACCAAGTAGTCTTGGGCATAGATTCCGAGCTTGCTTCTCCTTACTGATGGTCAATAGGGATATATAATTTATACATGTTGAGGTTTAGGGTTTAGGCTTAATGCGGGGAATAATACATTATATGGGGATTACATCAGGGATGACATTCCCGTATCCCCTACTAACCACGAGTTAGTCTCCTTGCTTCAATCTTTGGCTTCTAGACTGCGTTTTGAGGAACCAAGTCTCTCGATCACGAACTCGTGGCCCACGTTGACCATCAGGAAAGACAGGGCAAACATGGTGAGCATACCAACCACACGGCCATACCTTGGCGGCCATGGGCGCGTGCTCCGTTCAAATCCGCACCCCAAAGCCCCGAAGCCAGTGAACCCTAAACCCCTCAGCCCATAAATCCGACGCCCCCGCATCCTTAGATCAACCCTAAACTCCTAAACACTAATCCCTAAAACCTTTAATGCCTAAACCTCAAATTCCTAGGACCCTCAACCTTATCGCACAGGCCACAATCAAAGAGTGTGTGTTTTGGAAATTCTGCTTAAAAATTGATCAGCCTTGCATATAGGACCGTCTAGATCTCTCCTACGACCCCAAGACGCAAGATAAGAGCTCTAGTACCAAGATGTTGTTCACCTTGGGGAGTATATGGGGTGCCAATGATAACGTTATTGTTGGGGGGCGAAGCGATCAAGCTCGGCTCGTAAACAAGGATACTCCCAAGTGGTACCTGAGTCTTGCTACTTTTACTATTACTATTACTACCCTAAACCTAGTACTACTGCTATTACTGTTGAAAATCCTGTAAGCCGAACTTGCAGGGCCAAGAACATCGAGAACCCGTTAGAGGAACTGTTGTTCTGACACAATGGCTAGGGTTTAGGGTCTAGGTTTTAGGGTTTAGGGTCTAGGTTTAGGGTTTGATCCCAGTGCCATCCTCAGACATCCCGGCGTCATCCTCACATTGTCTGCCCCAAAACCCATTCTTATCCCACACAGTCTCTAAGGGCGCCTTCATAGGCCCTCTGGTATAAACCCGCTTAAAAAGATAGAATATGGCTTTGGGTACCTTATAACAAGATCCCCATATACCCCATCCTCTATATCTACTTAAGATGGACTATACCCCCCAAACAACTGCAAACCCTAAACCCTGAACCCTAAAACCGAAACTCTCTGGAGCCCTAGGATCCTAAACCTCAGAACCCTAAGACCCTGAACTTCAAATCCCCCAAAGCCCTGCAGTAAGACCCGAGAACCTTAGTCCCTCAAGACCTAACACCCGGTTTAGGGTTTAGGGTTTAGGGTTTAAGGCTTTAGGCCAGTTTTGGGTTTAGGATCTTGGGCCAGTGTTGGGTTTGAGGTTTTGGGTTTAGGTTTGTTTAAGTCTTTGGGTTTAGCCTTTTTAGCCCAAAGCAAAAGCAGTGCCAGGAGACAAAGTGTAGGCCTCTGGGCCCAAGTGCCCAGCGGAGAGCTGTGAGATGGTGAGCCCGACAACAAGCATGCCGGTATACCTGGGAAAGGGTTCAGGGTTTAGGGTTTAGGGTTAAAGGTGTAGGGTTTAGGGTTTAGGGTTTAGGGTTTTTCAAAGTTTAGGGTTTAAGTTGTTTTTCTTTTGCGGGACCTTTTCTCCATGGCATGAGTCACCACCCAATCATTGCACTCCCTCAACCCTCGACACAGGATCTAAGAAAAGGCGCAGCACAGGGACACCAGCTCCTTACAGAAGCCAGTGAGCCAAACTGGTTTGGCGGCTGCCAGTCAGGGTTTAGGGTTCAGGGTTAGGGGGTTAGGGTCGAGGGGAATGGAAAAGGTTATGGAAACTGCTAGATGAATATAGGGAGCCCTCGATAGGGTTTGGGGTTGATTGCTTCTTCTAATCCATGAATCATATCTATCCCCTAAACCTAAACCGTAGAACTTAGGGGTGCTTGCCTTAGTTGAGCTGTCGCGGGCTCCTTGGGAGGGTGAAGCGGTAAAGGAGTTTAGGGTCCAGGGTTTAGAGATTCACGACGGGATGGACTAGGGCTTATCCCAATACTGACACACATGGAAATGATAATGGCACATGATGTGGAAAGTGGCAAACTATGTTTAGAAGGTTTCGGGCTTAGGCTTTGGAGCTACGGATTGTAGGAATAGGACTCAGGGTGCGGCGATCTAAGGCTTGGGGCTCAGCTGTTGGGATTTAGGTTTAGCATGCTGCTGCATGTGACTGAACGAATTTTGTACGTTTGCAATAATCATACACCATGCTTCCTGGCAAGGTGAGATTCAGAGCCATTTAAGGTTGAGTCCGCCTATGTATCATTAGCATGGAACCCTAAACTCTAAACCATTGGTTCTAGAGATCTGACAATTGGAAAATCTGGGTTGAGGCTGCTTCCAGGTCCCCTCCCCCTGCCCCCAGCAGGTCTTGGTACCCTAACTGTGCATCAGACAAGGTCTCCAAAATATTTGTGTTGATGACGTCTAATGGGAATCAGTTCTGCTACTTTTAACCAAGATGATAATTACTACTTTAGTTGCGGATCACTAGTCCCCAAGAGTTGAAAGTCTGAGCCCCCGGACACATGAACACATACAGCTCCAAAACGAAAAGCCCACTAATGAAGCATCAGCTCTGCGCTCTAAATCCTGAAAGTTCCCGAAGATTGAACTCGAAATGCTACAGTGGGTCCGGTTACACCAAAAAAGACTGGCCAGTGGTAAGGCGTCCTTTACAAAAGATCCCTCTAGGGACCCAGGTGTCCATAGGTAGACCCTGAACTCTACATAGGGTGTAGGGTAATAGGGATGATATGGAGTTCTACAGGGGCACTTTAGGGCTTATATCCGGGGTCAATAGGGGCAATAGGGATCATATAGGCCCTCAAAACCCCGAACCTCCACATCACGATAGTCTAAACTCCTAGTATCCCCCTAAATAACCCCTATATTACTCCCCTACAGAATCCCCTATAGTATAACCCCCTTAAGTTTAAGGAGCTTAGACTATAGCTCACATAACCCTAAGCCCCAAACCCTAAACAACCTACACTCTAAACCCTAAACACCCTAAACCCAAAACTCTAAATACTAAACCCTAAACCCATGTCTGGGTACACCAAAAGCTTCTGCTTCCCTCCACTGTCACTGGCCATGGCTTTGAACGGCGTCAGGATACTTTCTTTGACCCTCTGGCAGCGGTTTGAGCAGCAACGCTGCAGTGGGTTTAGGGTTTTTTTTACAACCCCATCGACTCTTGTACGTCTAGCATTTGCTTGGGGTTCTTGTTGCCCAGTCGGCCTACAGGTGTAGGGTTTAGGGCGTAGGGTTTAGGGTAGCTTACCTGTAGTCCACTTAGACCTTTAACAAGCATAATATTCTTCAGAGCTGCTCGGTGTTATCTGACAAGACAAAAGACAAATCATTCCTAAGGGGATACAAGTTAGGGGTCTACAGAGAACACAAGAGCTGTAGAAGAGGTGTACAGACGGTTAGGTGAGGGAACGACTGAAACTTTTTCAAGGTTCTCTGGATATTGAAGCAGAGCGTTATGAGTAACGTGTAAAGATCCGGAGGCTTCTGTTTAGACGGCCTTACACAGACTAGCAGCCCTATACCGGCATACATCAAATTCCAAAAAAATAAAGCAACTTGCTGGCATCTATTGCGGCCCCTACACCCTAAACCCCAAACCCTGTAAGCCTTGTGTCCTGAAGGACTGCCAGGTACCTGCTACAATATATTTGGGTTGAGTCCCAACCCGAAAGTGTCGCACAACGCAGATATGGAGGGACCCTTACACAATGAACAGTGCCCCTTGTGATGACTATTGCTATGTAGCGGTCGAATTTACCCCAAACATGCGGATGACCTCTAACTCTCGCATTATTCCTGATACTAATAACTTCCAAAGTTAGCAGGCACCGGAAACCTTGGAATTCCGAATCCAGAATGCCCAACGGTGCACCGCCACCCCCAGTGTTAGGGGGTTCCCAACTTTGTAACCTCATGTGAGTCAAGCTCGCACGACACTATCCCACCATGCCTGTTAAATGACGGCCCTACGGCCGCGAACCCAGCAGCAACATACAAGCAAACCCTAATTAAACTCTAAACCCTAAACCCTAAAAATTATCATCTTGGTTGGGGGGAGGGGAAGAGTCGACCTCATGAAACTTCGGAGCCAACAGCCAAACCCCTGGCCTGGGTATTGATAGACAGGGTTTAGGGTTTCGGGCTTAGGGATTTAAGGTTTAAGTTTTAGGGTTTAGGGTTTCGGGTTTATGGCTTAGCGGGCTCTACACTACACGGGCCCACAGGCTTTGGGCAGCAAGTTACATGACCCAACGTGTAACAGAAAGGTCTCGCAAACTGGACACTGAATATGCGCAATGTTCTTAAGGAACCCTATATATACTCACCCGTAAACCGAAAATGAAAATCTATCTTATATACAATCATCTTTCTCCCACACGGTGTGCCTCTGAACTGAGAACATGTCGAACAATGACTGATTTTAATGAGCCTAGGTACCAAACTTGCAACCCTGAACCCTAAACCTGAAAGTGCAGCTCACATTCTTTTCCGCTATTACTCTATAATCTTATTTTACCCTATATAACCCCGGTATAACTCCTATATAACCCCTATATATCCCCTTCCAAAACCCTGTACCAAGCTAGACGGGTGCCTCCCTCGTTGACCTCCCCCACTCGCAGCATGGCTCCATGTAGCCACATAGCTTAAGATGTTTAGGGTTTAGGGCTTTGGTCGCTTCCATAAGGGCTTAGGGCTTGGGCGGATCTTCCCTGCTATGGGGACTTCCAAAGAGGGACACATCAACTGGAGGCCTCTGGAAATAGGGGTACCTAACAAGCAACCCGAGGGTTCTGGGGACTTCTCTACACCTTAAACCCTAAATCGTAGGCTGAGGTCCTGCAGGGATGAGGCTTAAGGGTTTACGAGTTTAGGGCGTAAACTCCAAGAACCACCCAGCTAAGTTCTTTGCACAGGGGGCTTCGACAAGGAAGGCAAGGCAGATATACAAACAGATCTCTTTCTGAATTTATGGCTTCGTCGTGTTGCTCCACAAGCACAAAACCTGTTTCCTACCCCTAAAATTATGCTCCACATGCCAAACCCTAAAATCTAAATCCTAAGCCCTGAGCCCCAAATCCTGCACCCTCAACCCTAAAGTCTGAACCCTAAACCCTAAACCCTGAAGCCTAAACCCTGAACCCTATAAACCCTAGAAACCCCATAAACCCTTCGCAGCTGGAAACCCTGAGCTTGAAATCTAACAGCTTCCGCGGCCACGGCAAATT